TATTTTAATTCTTAAGCATTATGACCTTTCCATATCTATGTAGCGGTTTACATATCCCTCTCCAGGAGAGGTCTCTAAAAGCTTCTTCTTTGCTGCTCGTGTTTTTCAATTACAATTGCTTAAAATTAGAGTGTCAATTGTTATTACTCCCTTCGTCCTATTTTTATTGATTTTAGCTGGAAATATTGTGCTTTTGAAAACACTAGCAAATTCAAAATTTGTGTTCTTACAACCATTGCTTCTAAAAGTTATGGAGTTAAATCTATGTTCTCACAACCATTGCTTTCACTCTCTCTTCTTCTCACATCATCTACATATGTTTCAAGGGACCGTGTATTTTCTGCTTGTCCTCTTGTGTCACCTGCTTGCAATGTAAGAAAATTGAAGAGTAGAAGTCCACCATTGGAGACCATTCAAAGCTTTGTTTTTGAAAATGGTCTTTTTGAATTTGTTAGTTGTTTGGATTGAGTGTTGTTCCAATTGATTGAAAATATCAATAGGATTTCAAAATTTAAATTTGAAGTGACTTGGAGTAGATTTGAGCAAGATTTGAGTTAAATTTCAAAAAAGACGCAAGGAAGAAGACGAAGTCAGTTTTTTGTATAATTATGTATAATCTTGTATAATAGTGTATATTAGTGTAGAAACACAACTTATACACTATTATACACGTTTATACAAGCGTCTGTAGACGAACTTCTTCCACGATTTTCAGTTGCAATTCTTGTTCAAAACCAGTCCAAATCTCCATTAAATGACTTCAAATTTTATATACAACCTCCTTATACTATTTCTAACAAGTCTGAATAACACCCACTCCAAATTTCTCACAAAATCAAATTCGGAATTTAAACCCACATATTTAAGCTTGTCAAAAATCTAATTTTCACCACCCAAATGAATTTGGTTTGTTGAATTAATATTTGAGTCACAGTTAGTTACTGATTCGAAAATAAATTTAAAAGCTTGAGGAATCTTTTTTAAAAATTAAATAGTAATTTTGAGAATCTATTGGAGTTGGATGTTGAATCTTAGCCTATTATTTTTGGGCTAGTTGATTGTAAATTAAAATATGGGCTATAAAATTGAAAAGTAGAGAGCCCAGTTGTTCTAATGTGAAATTGTCCCTTAAGTTAATTATACTATGGCATGAAATCATTACAGTAAATTAGAAGAGTGATTTTGTTAAGAGTGACTTTGAATTTTTGAATTAATCACTGTAATTTCAGTTTCTCCTCCTTCCTGTGAAAACATAAAAATTTGACATCTTGTCACAATTATAAAAAGAATAAATTGAAAATTATATCGAGAAGTTTCTAGGAAATTTAGAGAAACTAAAAAGTTTATCGGAAACATCTGGGCAATTCATTTTGTGTTTATTTTAATAAGAAAAATAGATAAAATATGTCTATGTAATATACTTTCTTTTTCCTATGCAATATACACTTCTTTTTTCTAGAAGAGTACACACGACTTAAAGGAAAAAGGCGAATTATCTATTTAACACGGTTGAAAATATGTCACTTATATTAAAAGAAAGATGTTCCCTTCTTATGTTTTTACTTTTTACCTATGCTATGAATTAATAGGAAAGTGAAGGTGACAGTAATTAAACAGAAGCTTAATTAAGTACTGTACTTTCCCTCGCCAAACTCCAAAGACTATCAAAAGTCAAAATTTTAACCTAAAGTAAGGGGAGAAAGAATTGATCAAAAAGATATCGACAAATCATCATATCATCATCACACTATACTATAAGTCTGAAGCCTCATGTCAAAAGTTGAAAGACCGAAATGACGTTATAAAATTAAATGATTATAAAACTCATTGAAAAATAAATATATTACCTTCTTCATAAAATTGTTATATTAAACAACATTCTCTTTGTTGCTATAGAAATATGAAGAATTTCACAAGTTATGTTTGAATAATAAATAAATATACTAAACCCATTGGATATTTAATACATGGACCATATTCATACATATTGAAACACAATGAATTTCGTTCCTCATTCCCTTTGTTCCGTTCAATTGCATTTAAGTTCTTACATAAAGTTTAACTTACAATTTTTTCAACTTACTTGTCTTTCTCCTATTTAAGAATGATCTTTACAAATTTTTTACACAAGTCTTCACTTACAAGTTGAATAGAGATTTTGGTAATTATCGTGAAAAGAGAAGTTGAGACGATATCGGCATTAGTCTTCATTGCATCATTTTGAACTTCTTTTATCCACTCTTAGAAAGATGGCATATGTAGCAATCCTCAGGTTAAGGAGCCACAAGAGCATATTCACAAGAATATGATCACTCTTTCATCTTAGAATGTAAAGAATCTAGAATTGAGGTTGAGGTTACTATTAGATTCATTTTCTCCCTTTCGATAGATTAATTACTCTTTAACCAGATGATATGGTGGTTTGATTTGGTATGCAGATTTATAGTACTAGTTTTTTGGAATTACTCCAATTTTGATGCTAAGAAAAAGTGTTAATTCTGTCTCGCTCTCTGCACTTCAATGTCTTAATTTGTACTTTGCTTGCGGTAAACTCTGAGTAGACTTTTGAGTTTTGAGTGTTCAGAGCAATTTTAGCAGTAACATATTTTGAAAACTTTGGTACAACTCTTATTTTATCATTTAAATCTATAAATGGTAAAGAAACTTAATTTGCTGCGAAATATAACATTGTAACTCATAACTGTTACCGTTCTGACTTCATTGTCCTTATTTTAGGAGGAAAATTAAACTTTTTATTTTTATTTTTATGAATGCTTGTATCATTTTAACTCCTTAAAATGTTAAATTTAAGTGAAAGAAATTCAAAATTGAAAAAATAGGAGAAACCCACGAAGGACTGAAAGATGTGCCTTGCAAGAGGTTAGAAGAGTTAAATTTATGGTGATGTGTTGGTACTATATATACTAGATATGTGTTGTATGTGTACGACTAATAGTAGCATATTTATTTATATTAAAATTATATTGGGACTAATTAAATGTAGGATAAAATCAATCATCGGTTTATATAATTTTAAAATAAAAAGAGAAACTCTAATCGACAGTGTCATTGTTGAGATTTTTAATCGAGATTGAGTTGGTTAGATAGTAGGATTTCTGACTTCATTCGTAATAGGTATTAAGGATAGGTAAAATGTGATAACTTTTGTATATTTGGATTTGTAACTTATATTTCAATCAAATATTTGTAGAATATGTATATTTGAATTTGTAACTTAACCATTTTAGATTTAGATATACATTATATAAAATTAATATGGGATACACGTGCAATGCACGTGCCCAAAATCTAGTTCAGTTAAAAAATACAAGACTTTTGATCAGTATATTTAATGGGTAGCAAAGCAGTAATTATGAATAATTCAAAAGCGTTTGTTTCTTGGTCTGTCTCTCTTCCTATATTGTTTACGTTAAAAGTGGGTAGAAAAATTCTTATTTCCAATTTTTTGTCTATTTATTTTAAATTTATTAGAATAAATTAAATTATTGTTAGACTAAATGATAGCAATAAACTTAAAGCAACTACATGAAATAGAAAACGTATCAATTAGTTGTATTGTTTATCTAATTATGAATTTGACCCTTTTATTTTTAATTATGCAGAAACTAATAAATATTTTACTTCAGTTGAAAAATACATCTAATTAAAAGAAAAACCTCCTTTGAAGTAGTTGTCTTAATTTACCAAAACCTTACTTCGTTAATTCGAGTAATTTTTCCTGCACTAGCTAAATATTAGTAGTAATTTTTTTTTGTATATAGTCTTGATTCATATTAAAAAAGTCTTTTAATATTTCAAACGTATTTTTTAACTATACTATTTTTACAAAATATATTTCTATTGATATGGAGTACACGTGCAATGCGCATATTCTAAGACTAATAAATATAGATGATGATACGATGATGATACGATGATAGATTTACAATTTTGATTCGTTTGATTTGAAATTGCCCGTATATCTTCTTTAAATTAAATTTCCCCTAACCGATTAAATAGTAACACGGATATTATTGCAGTATACAGAATTATGACATGAAAAGAAATACTCCATATCCTACTCAACTTAGGAAGTTATATGCGGGTAATTATGTAAATCAAAAGAAGAATAAAAGGATATCCTAATCCGACTAGTTATAAACCTATTCGATCTCGGTTTTAATTTTGACATCTATATATACCCTTCTCTTTCCACGCCTAAGGACACCATCTTAATAATCTTCCTTTCTTTGTTCTGCATATTATTTTCTTTGATCCAATATCTTCATGGCTGGTGGAAACTTTATTCCCGCCGGCGGTGGCGGAGACAATCCAGATGAGTACCCAGGGAAGCTAACAGTGTACGTAGCCATGACTTGTATCATGGCAGCCATGGGAGGGTTGATCTTTGGCTACGACATTGGAATTTCAGGTGGAGTTACTTCCATGGATCCTTTTCTCAAACGCTTCTTCATGTCTGTTTACCAAAAAGAGGCTTTGAACACCTCTACCAACCAGTACTGTAAGTTCGACAGCCAGTTGTTGACCCTTTTCACGTCTTCTCTTTACGTGGCTGCCCTGTTTGCGTCCATTGTTGCTTCTCATGTTAGCAAAAAACGTGGCAGAAGAGTTACTATGGCCCTTGGAGGTCTCTTTTTCTTGATAGGCGCCGTCCTCAACGCTGCTGCTATCCATATTAGCATGCTCATCTTGGGTCGTATTCTTCTGGGGATTGGTGTCGGATTTGCTAATCAATCTGTCCCTATTTATTTGTCAGAAGTTGCTCCCTACAAATA